TGAAGGCAAAGCGGACGAGCTAGAACGACCTGATGCGGCTGCAGGGTGGCAACGTGTCCATAGGAGACGAAGGGAAGATCGAGCGCGAGTCGAAATCTCGAGTCCCAGAGAATCGAGGACTGAATCCAATTCTGTCAAGGAAAGGGCCACCAATCCGAAAGTTTCAATGTCGTACGCTTCATCCAGCAATGCTTGCTGAATGGGCTCGGGAATATGAAGTTCATTTAGCAACTCCGCAAATGAATTTCGGGCCATGGGAGGAACAAACGAAAACTGAACTAATAACAAATGTGATTGTGGAAGCGTGTTGATATAGAAATCTAAGTAGTATGCGTGACTGAATCCTGCTGATTGTATTACTCTCCAACTCGGACTGGGATCCACACAACGAGTGGAGATGCGATTTGGCCCAGAGCCAAAGTGCAATGCATTCAATCGCTGATTGAAGTACGCACCATTGACTACAGCAATGGTCAAAAGAAATGAAACAGGGATTTGGACAGCTTACACGGTCCAAAGATTTCACATTCAGTGAAAGCACAGCTATGACTTTTCGAGCCATTGCGACCAAGCTGGTCAGTTTCCGGAAGACAAACTGCTTCCGGTGGGGTGGAAAATGAAAGCGGGTCATATTACATGCCCTGATCAATAGATGGCTGAGGTACCCTCGTACAGAGAGAAGCACAAGAAGGGCCGCTTCCAAAGTGGGGTGTTCATCCACCAATTGAAGCTCTCTCAGTACTCCAATCGAAGAAGAGAGCTCCGCCGAAAGAACCGAGATGTTGGGTTCTTGCCAAATTGCCCACAAGGGTGCCGGGGATGATGAACGCTTGCACGAACTAATCGGAATCTCAATCGACAGGGCTTGGGCTTCCACGTATTTCATTCCGAAGTGGTTGATGTAGGCCTGAAGCGAGGTCAGAGCGCGCCAAAGATCACCCACCGGTTGTGTGATATGGGAGATGCCGGATGCGCGCAGAATGGATCTGCACGACTCGCAGATTTTCCAATCTGTCCAAAGCTCCTGGGTCCGGGTGAACCCCATCCGGCCCAGTACAATAGGCGAGTAGAATCGCAAGAAACTCCATGGTAGAAAGGGGCGTCACTCAAACACAAGGGGCGTAGATTTGAGGCTAATGGAAATTCATTCATGAATGGCATTTAGATATGCATGTCAATGCAAGAATGCGCACGATTAAATGAGAACTTGATACGATCTGAAGAAATGCGAGCAAATACCTTAGTGGTATGAATGCACGAAGAGCATGGATGCAGTTGAACGATTATTCCGCGCATTTCAGTGGGTATTCTGCTTGCATTTTGAGCCCCTGTAAAAAGTATACTTTTCGGGGGGGCTCAAAATCTCTACTTTGCCGCTTACATGGTTATCACTTCGTGACCACCTTCAAGACCCATGTAAAACGGTAGGAGAGTTTGCAAGTCTGCACACAGGCTGTGTCAATGCAAGATTGTGCAAAGCAAAATATAGGTAAATGTGTTCTTTTCCTCAAGCGTCAGTCTGGCATAGAGGCATGAAGGGCGGTAAGACAAGCTTTGCGTCTACAAAAGCGTACTCCACTGGGGAGTTCAAGTGACACCTGGGCATCCGGAACGATCGGGGATCCACACTTTGGCCGAAATCGGCTGCCTCGAAAATCCACGCCGGATTGGACAGTCCAAGATGCACAATGCACGATTTTGGATGTGACAATGAACAATGGACATGCGGAAAGCTCTGGGTCAGGGATGTGATTAGTGGCAGGTGGATCGACTGGGCTATCCACAATCTCAACTGGCTCTTGCGCAGAGACATTAGGACTAGTGAGGTGAATCTTGAAATGACGCAGCTTAAGCGCTGAAAGATCAAATGGCTCACATCTACAACAGAGGGTCACAGCAGGCTCCACAGCTGGACTCTGAGCTCCCCGATGCAATGGGGTTGAAGGGCGAAAGCCAAAATGGACAATCTGAGCACGAATCTGCGTTTGCAATTGAATGGGTGCATGAACTGAATCTCTACCGTACAAATTTACACTACTTTGCAATGAAGGCTTGTGGTGGCCTTGTAATGCACGGCTTTCAGAATCTAAATTGAATTGACATGCCCAAGACAAAATGGTGGCTTTAGCTGAATGAAGAGTGTACTCAGGAGCGCAAGAACGAAGGCTCGGAATCGTACTAAGATATCGTCGCAAGAATGCAATGGTCTGAGCATAAGACATGGGTTCCACGATTGCACCTGAGCTGTCAAGGTTGGGGAACAAGTGATCTGGAACAAATGATGGGCCGTATTTGAGGATGGAAGCATCCCAAACAATGTTCAAAGCTTCAAGCCACTTCAAAAGCCAACTAGCTTGGGGAGCATCTGCAATCAAACCAAAAACTTGCACAGCGAAAGGATATCCAGACTTGCTGGATTTGGCTTGAAAACATGCTGCACGCAACGAAGTGTCATCTAAAATAATTTTGTCCCAAAACACATGTTGTGCATCATCGAAGCGAAGGGAGGCCCAAATGCACACAAGAAGTGAACCTTTGAAGATGCTGTCTTGAAGCGAATTATGGTCTTCCATAAGCGAAAGCTCCAAATCATGGACCATATACAATGGCAGTGGAAGGCTTTCACACTTCTCTTTTGAAGAAAATGTGAGGTTGCTAAAAATGGGTGAATACGAATCTAGGATTTGCAGTTGAAGTACATTCGAAACCCAACGAAGCGCTTTAAGCGTGTTGAGACTGATCAGCGGTGACAACTGCAGCTCGTCTGAGTCCGGGTCAGTTTCAGACCACTCTGAATGCATCAAACGCAAAACATCGACTAGTTCGATAGTTGAACAGAATTGCAATTCCAAGTCAAGATCAAAAAGCCACTGTGCAAGATTCAAAAAGGAAATGCAATACCGTTTGATAGTACTAGGGCTATACTTACGAATGAGTAAGGAGCTCAAGTCTGGTCGAAGGCTAAGTGATTGATTGCTTGAAAGAATGTCACTAAATGAAATGCAAAAAATACATACTTGTTCAAAAAGTGACTCTGCAAGTTTCCGTTGGTGGAACTCCAAGCTTTGCTGGGATACATTCTGAGGACTCAAACTGGAATGCTTCTGGCGTAAGCCTAAAGGCGGCGATGACACGGGGGCGGGAACAAATGAACTCGAAGGTGATCCAACGTCCTGAACATGCTCTGCGTGAAAAATGGATGGATACGGCTGACTGCGTCTTGCAGACTTGAAGACTGGCGGTGGGAGTGGCTCAAAGTTCTGGAACACTTGGGTTCGACGAGGTGAAATCTGAGGAGCTAACACTGGATAGGGGTTATCAACAAAGCACGAAGGTGGTCGAACTGCACTAGTGTTAGGTAGACCGTCGATTCGATCTGGAGCCAGCTCTCTACTATGAACAGGAGTGCAACTAGCGGCTTTCGGCCGTGACGGCAAGCGCTGAGGCCCCCGGTATCGCTTCACTCGAAATGGAGGGTCCATCAGAAATGGGCTGCGGGTTGTGTTGGGAACTGCAATGTCAAAAGAAAGCTATGTGAAGTGAGACGCAAGCGAAAATGCAAAGTAAAATGAGAAGCAAGCTAAAAAGCACATCGAACCTGTTGGAATGATGTGATGTAAACATGATACATGTTGTAACGCACCCAACATTCAGCAAGGCAGATTCACCGTTCGCAGGTGGTAACTGCCTAGAACCAAAATGGCACAACGAACAAGAAGTATCCCAAAACATTTTGTGAAGGATCACAACCAACATGCTTGCAGCCGCTTGCAACACAAAACCAAACAGACTTACTGTAGGCGGGCGCGTGCAATATTTGTGTGGGTGACGGGCGCGGGTGACCTTCAGAAAACCTGTCGCAGTAGGCCCAGCCCATTGGCAAAAGTCGTGCAGATTTCGTGGCGCTGGAGGGGGGGTCGGGGGAGGGCGCAGCGCCTCCCCAGAGCGAACCAAACATAACCAAACATCAAGAGCCATCAGGCTCAAAAGGCACCACAAAATAGATCACCATCGAAAACTACACACCCCATTGCCTCATCAATGAAGGGCACTCAGAATGTGATGCAAGGACCAAGGCAACTGGGTAGCGCTTTGTTTTCGCAAACCTCGTGCCAGGAGGGAGACCAAGGGCCTAGGGGACCACCAGACTCGAAGACTGGATTTTCTATTTTATACTTTTTTGATCTCGACTTTTTCTTTTTGAACATTTTTTGATCCAGATGCCAGCTTGAGCTTTACCCAGAGTCCTTCACACGAGTTAGAACAAAAAACTTCAGGTACATGAACCACTATGAATCTATGAAACAAACCAGGGGACCACAGCAACCAATCTTGAAGTACGTTTGCGCTCCCTGGCGGCGGTCTTCGTTTGCTAGGACGCGCACCAAGCATTTAAAAATAATAAGAGGTCAAAAACTCGCTATGATTCCAAGAGTTATGTACGTACAGACACACAACACACACACTTAGGATAGGGTGTACTGAACTGAAAGCGGTGCCACACGCCAGCCTAAGTAAAAGCCTAAGGAAAACAGGGTGGGTAAAATGAAACGGTTTAAATCT